CACACACACACACACACACACACACACACACACACACACACACACACACACACACACACACACACACGTGCCACAACTGCAATGACTAGTTGGCTGAATTGCCAAGGGCTGGTAAAACTTCCACTCATACCCTGCCAAGAAGTGATTCATTCATAGCCTTATTAAACCAACATTTGTTCTCATTTCCAGTGCTGCTTAATGCACTTTAGCCAGGACCAGACCAGGCCTTATTCGGGACACTGGGTACTTTTTTTTTTAAATCAAACCCTGGCCTTTTTAAAATCAAAGGATGCACTGTTAAGAAAAAGAAGGTCCTAATACAATGAAGAGATAACCTGGTTGGTAAGGAATGCAGTTTTGGCGTGAACCAAACAGCGTGCAACAGTCGGCTGCAGTGAACCGCTGGAGATGGATAGAAAAATATTTTAGTGAATATTTAGTTTTGAGTCAAATCTAAAAACAAAGTTAGGCCCTTGAACTTTGAGTTTGTTCGTTTGGTGGGGTGTCCTGCTGGGCGCTATAGGGTCTTAAACAGGAGGATAAGTGCAATACACACCAAGTAATCAAGCTTATAGCAACAGAAAGGTGTGTGTGCAGGGTAGTGCTTAGTAAAGTAGACGTTACAAGGAACATTGCAAAACGACGAGAAAGACTGGTGTGACAATGCATGCTACAAATGACATGTTGATGTTGTGACACATCTTGTTTTGCTTTAGACAATTTAACATGAGTGTGCTGGTATCCAGGTTTTGATCCTACATTTCAAATTCTATAATTTCCACAATTTGGGGAGTTTGTTGGAACAATGTTCACTTGTATCCGAGAAAACCTGGATCAGGGGCTTAACGCTAGCTCGTATCAAACTTGTATCAAAGTACTCCCAAATAACAGATCCAGCTTTTGGAAAGGAGAATTCAAGATTTAAAAAAATGCAACAAATCACAAATCAAAGCCATCCACGTGCGGCTCACATACAGTGGATGTTAGGTTCTCACATCAGCAGCACTTAAAAAAAGCAAACTTACAAGTCATTATAGACATCTACTTTGCCAAAACATAGCTGCTGGTCAATCGAATGCATGTAAATAAAAAAAAAATCCATAAGAACATTGTGTGTAAAATGGAAACTTGGTCCACATTTTCTTCACACCTCACCAGCACCACGATGACCACAGAAAGGCAATTATAGGTTTACACTGTCCAACGTCACAAGGATACAAAGAGTGGTGGCACAGTCCTTTATCCTTCTGTCACATTGTCAGTGCATGCTCCAATGAAAGCACCACCACTGGGGCTAGTGGATGTGTGGAAAAATGCAGCAAGAACTGAATATGTCAGGCAGCCAGTAATCGTAGTTACAACCTGACTTTCCCTGCAACCTCTGCAGGAAAAGCACTTAACATGTTCTGCTGATGATGCACATTTTCAGTCGTACAAAATCACGAAAAAGGAGCCCTGAAGAGGAAAAGATTGCCCGTGTTGCGTAACTACAGGTGTAACCTCAAAATTCAATTGCAAACACTTTAGAGTAATCAAAATGTCACATGTGAAGGAAATATTTTAAGCAGGCTTCTTGTTTTTGTAAGAACAGGAAGTCTGCGTGTAAGAGGTGTACGAGCAGTCGTTTGGAGTTTACTTTGACACACTCAGCCTCTGGCTCGGTGTGTGTGTGTGTGTGTGAATCTGACACACCATTTGATGCTTCTTACACATAAAAGCCACAGACTGAGTGACACCTCACACGATACAGGCCGGTTCAGTGCAGAGCTGTGAAGCATATGCAAAATGTAAAACAACTCTAGTTGCCAGGCTGATCAACGAGAAGAAAAAGTAAATCTGCTTTGTAGTGTAGTTTTTTTTCCCACATTAGTGATCTAAAATAGCTGCCTTGTCAGGAGGTGTGTTTTGGGACATGTTAATTTTTTCTTTTCGCATTGTTCCTAGTAGACTTTAAAAAAATACTAATGCTTGTACCACAAACTTGAGTAGTAAGTCGATCTAAATGCTTATAGATATTATTGGATTAAAAACAAATAACATACTGGTTAAAACTAAGCATACTGAACTTTTTTGGGGAATGACAACTGTGCAATTTTACCCGCTTCTTTTTAAAATGAACATTTATTTGTCTTGTAAAGTGCTTCCTGGCATGGGATTGGTTTTACATGCGACTATGAAGCAACACAGTAACTGAAGTTTTCAGAGAAAGTCATTTAGTGCATATATATAT